CTATGCACGGGGTCGGACTCGATGATCTGTTGAGGTCCCTTCCGACCCTAACATCTATGAATCTATGCCTGTGCTGTGTGGGCAGCACTGCCTTAGCCTATCTGTCCTTCCATCCCTTCAGGGCACTGTCCTATGCGACATCATCCTCCTCAACTTCCTCAAGGGGGCTGAGCAGTACAAAGCCAAAAAGTTTGAAGAGGTGAGTCTGAAAGAGGGGCACCTCTTGAGCCCAGATCGCTGCAGAGCCAAGGGATGCTAAGTATCACGTGGCTGGAGTACTGACCATGAGGGAGCTCCCAGCCTCATACATAAGTCCCAGCCTCTCCCAGCAGGGATATCATGGAGAGTGGGACAGGAGTGCTGGCTGGGGTAAAAGCGCTCTTGGCTACTCTGGTCCCACTTTGTCCCAGCAGGGCCGCTTGTGCCATGTGCACACATGCAGCAGCATGACCAGCCTGGCCAGAAGGTATCTGCCATGGTGGGGGGTGCCAAGGTGTTTCCTTGGAGCAGCTGGCCCCCAACCCCTACCCACCCCAGCTCTCTCCCATGGGGTAACCAGGAAGGAAACAGTAACATGGTTCTGTGCCCCACAGGTGACAGAGGTGAACCTGCCTCCAGCCATCTCCAACAGCCCTGTGTACAGGAGCAGCCAGACGTTGGGAGGCCGGAGCGAGGAGAAGCAGTCTACTGACTCAGGGGCATATTCCATCGGCCTCTAGCCCCAGAGCCAGTCCAGGACTTCATGCCCCTACTCAGTGCACAGGCCTCTCTACCTGGCTTCACAGTGCAGAATGGTTTCTCTTTTATACCCCCTTTCATGGTCCTCCAGTCCCACAGCTGTCCAACACCACCACAGGTGGGTGGAAAGGCCAGTAACACCATCCTTTTCCTCACTACCAAACAGTCTTTCTCTGCCAGGGAGAGCCTTGGACCTTCCTTCTACAAGCCTCCTCCTCTTCCTACAGCACACACTCAGGGGGACACCTTGGGATTTGTGGCTTGCCCCTGTCTGAAGCCAGGGGTGCCTGGCCTGGCCACAGAGTCCCTCACCATGTCCAGTAAACCTGTTCAGGCATGTGCCATCTGACATGGGTGCCAGCCTGCCTGACATTGGTGTCACTGGTTGTATAACAGCATGCTTAGCTCTGTGCAAAACAAGACAGTCCTCACCCCCTGGGATGCTTTCAGCCACCATAAAATGCTTGCCTAGGCTCCTCAGCAGGGGATGCTCTCTCCAGGTTGGAGGTGCTAGAAGAACACCCCAATCCCTTTTCCTAGCAGCAGGCAGGCTGATAGTGTCGAGTGAGTGGGCCAGCTTCAGGGCTTGGATTATGGGTTGCCCAGCTTTCCAGCATAGGGCACTCTTCCTAGGATGGCAGGTCTTGTCCACACTGGGACAAGGGACCATCCTGACTCCCTTCCCTTCTGACAGCTGACTGGGCTTGTCCCCTCCAGCACTCCTCCCAGTGCCCTTTGTCTGTGCTTGTGGCTAGGAGGCGCAGCTGGCCACCAGATGTGAGCATAGATTCTGAGACTCAGGGAGACATCCTCCTCACCCCTATACTGCCTGCTTCCACAGCACCATAGCCACAGGGGCTTTTTAGTCAATAAAACTCACCTTCTTGTGAGCTCTCAGATACGTGTCTTGGGGTTTTACCAAGCCAGATGTGAGCCAGGACTCACTCCAGTCCAACTGCTCAAGGCTAAACTGGGAGGAGCCAGTGAGATCCCCATCCTCCCAGGCCCTCCCACAAGGTGGGAAGGCTGCTTGCAGCCAACTGGCTTAGAGGCTTTTATTGTGAGAGTTATTCCAACACAATAGGGCTGTCCAACCCGTGGCTTCTGGGCTGCATGCAGCCAAGAGGGATTAATTTGTGGTCCCCAGGCTCTCCCCTGGGCTTCTCCCCAGCCATAAGGACTGGACACCTAACTAAAGCAAGAAGGAAAGTAAGAAAGCTCTGATTCTCAGAGATTCACATGACTTGGAGAGCTGTGGCTTTCAAAGAATCACCAGGTGCCCGCGCGCGCGCGCACGCACACACACACACACACACACACACACACACACACACACACACACACGGTGTCAGCTGGGTAATCTGGGGGGAAAAATCACCCTGCTAACCATAAAATCACAGACTCATAGAGAAGTAGGGCCAGAAGGTACCTCAGGTGGTCATCTAGCCATCCCTGTTCAAAGCATATTAGACATTTGTCTAACTTGCTCTTAAAAATGTTGGGAATAAACCCTCACCCACATCTACCAGGTACAATGCCCAAAACATCAAACACAGCCTTTAAAATGCCACAGGTAAAATGTAGGGGGATGATACCTGTACCAGCAGTACAACTGTACAGAAGCAGTTGTATTACCTAATGTAGTTCCTTTTGCCTCTAAAGAAGTTATTTACTTCAGGGGACGTAATACCAGCAAGCAAAGCTTCTCTCAGTACCAGTTATGTGGACTGCTCATCTATCAGGTCAATTGTAAGGGCAAAAGCATGCAACTATACAGCAGCCTGGAGAAGCCCATAGGTCTCGTTCTTCCATCAACTGTTGAACTAGTCGTGTTTTCAAAGCTATTGTGCCAGCAAGCGTTCCAGACCTGACTATGACAAGTGCGTCACTCTGTACCCCCCACAAGCAGCTCCTTTCTCCTAGGTAAGGGGTGATCCTGTGCTGATGTCACAGGTATTCATGAGGTGTGTGTGGAAGGGGGCCCTCATGGAGTGTCTCCTGCTCACACTCATGTTATATTGCTCAAACACATGCTAGTCTGTTTGGCCACTGCACTAGGGGAGTTCAAGGGCCTTTCCATGGGAACTGAAAGAAAGACCACCCTGAAGGGATCGGGGGTCTGCTTATAGGTCTGAAAGAGTG